TGAGCCTGGGAAGTCAAGGCTGCAGTGAACAGTGATGGTGCCACTGCATTCTAGCCTGGGTGACAGCAATGAGACCCTGTCTCAAAAAAAAAAAAAAAAAAAAGGATTGTGAACTTAAAATTCAGTAAACTGTTTCTATTTCTTTTTTGGTTTTCATTTTCTTTTCTGAGACAGAGTCTCACTCTGTCATCCAGGCTGAAGTGCAGTGTCATAATCTCGGCTCCCAAGTTCAAGCAACCTCTGCCTCCCAAGTTCAAGCAACCTCTGCCTCCCAAGTTCAAGTGATTCTCTCTTGCTTCAGCCTCCTGCGTAGCTGGGATTACAGGCGCCCACCACCATACCTGGCTAATTTTTGCATTTTTAATGGAGACAGGGTTTTGCCTTGTTGGCCAAGCTGGTCTCCAACTCCTGACCTCAGTTGATCTGCCTGCATCAGCCTCCCAAAGTGCTGCGATTACAGGCATGAGCCACTGTTCCTGGCCTTCTATTTCACTCTTGACTTAAATTATCAGTTTAAAAATGCTGACTTTGACTGGGTACAGTGGCTCATGCCTGTAATCCCAGCACTTTGGGAGGCCAATGCAGGCGGATCACGAGGTCAGGAGATCGAGACCATCCTGATTAACACGGTGAAACTCCGTCTCTACTTAAAAATACAAAAACTTAGCCAGGCGTGGTGGCGGGCGTCTGTAGTTCCAGCTACTCAGGAGGCTGAGGCAGGAGAATGGCGTGAACCTGGGAAGCGGAGCTTGCAGTGAGCCAAGATGGCACCACTGCACTCCAGCCTGGGCGACAGTGCAAGACTCCATCTCAAAAAAAAAAAAAAAAAAAAATGCTGACTTTCGCTGCTCATGGTGGCTCACGGCGGTAACCCCAGCACTTCGAGAGGCTGAGGGGAGAGGATTACTTGAGGCCAGGAGTTTGAGACCAATATAAGCAACACAGCAAGACCTCATGTAAAAAAAAAAAAAAAAAAAAAAAAACCACATAGGTGGTCCGGGTGCGTTGACTCACGCCTGTAATCCCAGAACTTTGGGAGGCCAAGGTGGGCAGATCACCTGAGGTCAGGAGTTTGAGACCAGCCTGGCCAACATGGTAAAACCCTATCTCTACTAAAAATACAAAAATTAGCAGAGCATGGTGATGCACACCTGTAATCCCAGCTACTCAGGAGGCTGAGGCAGGAGAATCTCTTGAACTTGGAGGGGCGCGCTGCAGTGAGCTGAGATTGCGCAATTGCACTCCAGCATGGGTGACAGAGCAAGACACTGTCTCAAAAAACAAGAAACAAAAAAAGCATTGCTGGGTATGTTGGCATGCACCTGTATTCCCAGTTACATGAGAGGCTGAGGTGGGAGGATAGCTTGAGCCCAAGAGTTCAAGGCTGCAGTGAACTATGATGGCACCACTGCATTCCAGCTTCAGGGACAGAGCCTGACCCTGTCTCAATAAATAAATAAATAACGCTGATTTTTTATTTGTCTGAGACACTGCAAATGAGAGATCAGACATTTAATAAATCATGTATTGATGGGCATTTAAAGTGTTTCTAAAATACTTTGTCAAAAATCTTACTGAGCCTGTAATCCCAGCACTTTGAGAGGCCAAGGCATGTCGGGAGTGGTGGCTGGCAAGAGGACTGCTTGAGCCGAAGACTTTGAGATAAATAAACTGGGCAACATAGCGACATACGCCTCTACACCAAAATTTAATTTAATGTAATTTAATTAATTTATTTTTGAGAAAGAGTCTCGCTCTGTCTCCCAGGCTGGAGTGCAGTGGCGTGATCTCAGCTCACCTAACCTCCAACTGCCGGGTTCAAGCCATTCTCCTGCCTCAGCCTCCCGAGTAGCTGGGATTAGAGGCGCCTGCCACCATGCCCAGCTAAGTTTTGCATTTTTAGTAGAGATGAGGTTTCACCACGTTGTCCAGTCTGGTCATGAACTCCTGACTCAGGTGATCTGCCTGCCTCAGCCTCAAAGTGCTGTGATTACTGCGCCTGGCTGATTTTTGATTCTTTATAATATTTTTATTCTTTTTTTAAAGCCCTGACCATGGCAAGGACAGATTTTGAAGTTTTTAGCGAGTCCTGATAAGAATTTTTACATTTAGCTGGGATTTGGACAAAGCCGCCCGTTAAGACATTTTTAGGAGCAAAATAGAGAAAGATCTTATTTGATGCTGAGTGATGGATACACCTGGGGGACAGAGGGGATGCTTTTGCTTTGAATAGTGTTGCTAATTGCTGATTTCTGGTCTAAATTGGGGTGCTGGGACTACAGACATGAGCCATCATGCCCAGCCCCAAAATTTTAAAAAAGAAAAAATTAGCCAAGCGTGGTGGCTCATGCCTGTGGTCCCAGCTACTCGGGATACTGAGGTGAGAAGATTGCATGAACCTGTGAAGCTGAGGTTGCAGTGAGCTATGATCATGCCACTGCACTCCAGCCTGAATGACATAGCAAGCAAGACCCTGTCTGAAAAAAAAAAATAATAATTACCTTACTGAAATGTATAATCTTCTTTCACTCAATCAAGTCACTTCACACATGTGGTAACAGATAAAATGTGGCCAGTTACTGATGGTTTACTAAAGATATTGGTAAAGTAACATTTAGCAATATCTCTAGTAGAGAGACCTCCCTTGTAAGCTACTGGTTTGTAGCATTGCCAAATGACATCATTGTAAAAAAACACTGTATCTCTAATGGATATGAACACATTTGTTCTATTCTTTCCCAAACCTGCTCTTTCTCTTGCATTACATGTTTGGTTCAGTGCCATTAACACATGATCACCCAA